GGTACAGGAGCTCAGATAATTAATTATTTGCTTTTATTAATAATTCTACTTAAAATTATCTTAAAACTAGGACTTACTTAAATGTTATATCTTAATTAATATTAATAGGCTCTTCTTATTCTACCTTATTTGGTTACAAAAAAACTTTTTTTATTAAAAATTACCAAGAAGCTTGCCTAACTAATTAGGTTTTAATTAAGTTGACCCCTTTTCTTTAATACATCTTCGTGATAACTCTAACTTTAACAAATAAATCATCCTTTATTAACAAGACAAGATAAGAAACTAAAAAACTTACTTTAGGTATATCAAACACTAAAAATCTGCACCTGAGCACGTAGCACAAACGCTGAGAAATTACTTCTATGAAAAGTAGTTTTTATAGGTATATCTAGTGGGTGACTATCGAGGTAAACAAAAACAAACGAGCCGCTGAAATACGTTCAACATGTTATATGAATCTACTACGTGTGTGTGTGTGTGTTTGCCGGTCAATATTTGCCAATACTTGACGATCGGGTTATCTATCGCGTTTTATTAACTGTTTTTGTTAAACATCCCAGTGAGTGATGTATTTCTGTTCCGTTTCGCGATAAACTAAGCAAATTGAATGGCAGCACTGCCATTATATTTGATAATTGCGCTAATAAACAGTAACATTATTTAATTATTACTGACGGAGTATAATTATGAATTGTGTCTACACCTACGAGGGATATGCATTTTATGTTTACAATCAAGAAAACTATTTTTTTTTATTTGAATTATACGTTGGATCTTCACTAATTTCGGAATTTGTTTCTCAAGTTTCCCTAGCCCTTTGAACAGCATTAAAAAATGCCTAAGGGCGCGGATGACTCCGGTGAGGGAAACGATTGGTGTAAATTAAATTAATAACATGTCCACTAGTTCATCATTGTTAATTATGAGCCATTTCTGACAAAAAATTGTGTATGAGACTACTGTCAACGATGGCATTTTGCATTTTTAAATTATTAATGTTTGTTCGCGATATTGAGAAATTAAAATTAAACTTTGAAATGCTCATTCTCAATCGTTTTTAAGTTTTGATAAAAGGCAAGAAATATTTTTGTTTTTCATGACACTATAAGTGACCTTTTAAATACACATTAACAAGTTGTGGCTTTATAGCGTTTTAGTCACGGGCTAAAGTTCGCAACAGGATTTTAGTCACTGGAAGTTACTTTTAAGTTAGCTGACGGTTGTCAAATGTCATACAATCGTTAAAATTAAGTGCCCTTCTTATGAAACAATAGTGAGGAAATTATTTTATTATCTTAAGACTTTTTTATTTTTGTATTTATTAATACAAAAATAAAAAAGTGTTAAATATTTTCTCAACGCCAATATCTATTTGAAAAGTTGCAAATATAAATATGCAAGTTTGTACTGATCTTTTGATTTCCCAGAATGGAGACTCCACCTTGAGGTGCTCATAAAACATTCTCTTTATTTTCACAGTGAAAAACTGCTTCTATATCAGATTTAAACGATTGTCAGTCCATTTTCAAGGCATAAATTTGAATTTACACATAAAAATTTGAAATTTTGACTGGTAAAACAGATTGCCAAGTTAGAAATTGTTACGCGATTTACTTTATTTTTTATAGATGTCGCTCTATGCAAATATTTAATTTAAATCATTTTTAGATAATAATAGGTATTTCGGCTGAAGGACTACGGTCAATAGCCTTTGAACTTGGTTTTAGTTCAATAAACCATTATTATTATTATTATTAATAGGTATTTGTGGTAGAAAAAGTATAGTATGCTCGTACTCGTTTATAAACTTCTAGGCAATCATTTAATTAAACACTCGATCGCAATCTTCTTATACTATTTTAATTTTTTCTTTATTTTTTTGTAAAAAGAAAATCCAATGTTAGTAATTATTATTATAAATCATTTTTACCAATCGGAATTATTTTATTTTGGTTAAATTTTGACGAAAATAAATTAAGTAATAATTAGGAATATGCACCAATTTAAAAATGGCGAATTCGCCTTGACCGTAAATTTAAATTATTAATAGATATGATGTTTTATTTAAAAAATTCGAATAATCATATGAATATAAAGTATGCATTTTAAGTAAAAAATCAGAACCGTTTGTTTTTTTAAACCATAATAAATTTTAATACAAACATAAGTATATTATCTATAGATGAGGAGCGTTTATTCAAAAAGGGACATGTCCATTTTAGCGATTTGCAGAAATAAGTCAAAAGCAAAGGAATTCTGTTATTTTTGACTTGTTTCTGCAAATCGCTAAAATGGACATGTCCCTTTTTGAATAAACGCTCCTCAGATATGCTAATTTTCCAGATGCTCCTAAGTTATTAGGACATTTAATACCTATTGAAATCAATCAAGGAAAATATATCTTATGATAATATTTACTTTTGAAAAAATAAATATTTTGGTAAAAAGAACAGACATTTATTACGCTGTTTTCAATGCGTTATAATTAGCTCCCGGGAGCTAACAATAATTTAAATAAAGTGAATATATTTACTTTATATATAATGCAATTATAATTATTATATACTTACTTATTACTTATAATTTTTGTGTGTAAATCGAAATGTATCCCTTGAAAATGGACTAACAACAGTTTTTCACTGTGAAAGTGACAAAATGTTTTATGGGCACTCCATGGTAGTCTCCTCCCAAAATTAAGTTAAATCTAGTTTACTGTCGGCAAAATTTCAAGATCAGTACAATGTTAATATAAACTTTTCAAATTTTGACGTTGAGAAACTACTTAATACTTTTGTATTTTTGTATTGAGATAATAAAATAATTTTTAATAATACCTAGTATTATTTTACAAGAAAGGAACTTTATTTTAACAACTTTCAGTCCGTGACTAAAACGCCATAAATCCACAACTTGTCAATGTGTATTTAAAAGATCACTTAGTATCATCAAAACATGTACCATAATTAACGTTTTAAGGGTGAAGAATATACTAAAAAGGTCAATCAGGATGACTTTTCTTCAAAAAACCAAAAATAAAAAATGTTTTCCTTTTGTAAACACAAATCGGGGACATACTGTAAATTATTATAGTAAGTAAAAGAAGTAATTACTTCTTTTTCTATAAATTGGTTCAAACACATTAAAATTTACAAAACCTTTGTTTTTTCATTTCTATTATAATTTATTATTTATAAAGATTGCTATAAAATTTAATTACAGCAAATTGGAATTGCAATTTTACTGTGAACGATACATTTTACGAAAAAACTATTTAAAAAAAGTAGATTATTTTTAGATCTTTGGCGTTCCTTTTTTCCTATAAAAGGGGATATAGGTAGTCACCCCCGTAGCGTCACTATAGTGACGCCACTGCTTGTTGTTTGAAAACGAATTTAACTACATATGGTAACTTATAAAAAAACAAAACTCCACTACTAAAATAACTATATAGGTATAATCTTTATTTTAGGAGACATTTTGTTTTTTTCATAAAAATTTACCTATAGCAATGCAATTTCTGAAACAGTTGAGTTTTTATTATAAAAATAACAAAATTTTTATTTAAGAGTGTATTAAACAGGGGCCTTTAATTTTCGTTTGCAATTTTTTTTGCAAATTGGCTGCAGAATATAAAAATTTAGAGTTTTATACTTAAAAAAAGGTACTCTTGTTGAACATCGATAAAATGAACCATTTTCAAGTTTTACTCTTTTTAAATTTAACAAGAAATATTAATAAAAAATACATGGTTGGTTTATAACACATCCAAATTTGACATTTGACGGTAATACAGATTCCCCTATTGTTTTATAGATGGCGCTCTATACAAATAGGTACTTAATTTCAATCATTTTTAGATAATAATAGATAGGTAAGTATTTGTCGTAGAAAAATTATAGTATGCAACTCGTTTATAAACTTTTCTAGACACTCGTTAAGTTAAGCTCTCGCTCGCAAGCTAGCTCGTGCCTAAATTAAATTCGTGTCTAAAATGGCGTTTATCGAACTTAATACATAATATACTATTTTCTACTCCCACCTTTTAAATGCCCATTATCGTACATGTTTCCAGTGACCTTTTAAATTGAAAAGTTGTGGCTTTATGGCGTTTTAGTCACGGTATGAAGTTATAGTATTAATTTAGTTGTCAGAACATTGTACTGACCTTTTAATTTCGCCGGCAGTAAACTATAACTTAAATTCGGACACGGACTCTACTGTAAAGTCCTCATAAAACATTTTATTTACTTTCACTGCGATAAACTGTCAATTTTCAAGAAATACATTTCGATTTATAACCTTTATAATTGTGTTATAAAATGTAAAAATGTGACATTTGACGGTGACACACAGTTTCTCCTATTGTTTCATAGATGGCGCTCTACACAATTTTTTGATTTAAATCATTTTAAGATAATAATAAGTATTTGTCGTAGAAAAAGTATAGTATGCACCTCGTTTATAAACTTTTCTATACACTCATTAATTTAAGGACTCGCTCGCAAGCTCGCTTGCGCCTAAATTAAATTTGTGTATAAAATGCCGTTTATCAAACTTGATACATTATATACTATTATCTACTCCTACATTGACGAGCTGTGGCTTTAAAGCATTTTAGTCACGGACTGAAGCTAACTTTATTATAATTTGGGAAAAAGTGAGGTTAAATTCAGGTGACAGTTGTCTATAAACTTCTCTAGACACTCGTTTTTATTAAACACTCGGTCACAAGCTTCCCTCGTGCTTAATTAAACTCGTAACTAAAATGGCCTTTATAAAAATTGATCCTACATAATAAAGTATAATTTAATTTAATAAACTTTTTAAAATTAACTACCTACATTATGTAGGCTACATAGTTTATTATAAAACCAAAACACGATTTGCCTACCCTAGATCTAGGGCGTCTACAAGCTAAGCATGGGATTTCCCGCCAAAATTGACAAAACTGACTGGACAATATTTGTTTGCATGGAATTTAAAAGTGAATGACTTACTCAAGATCTGATCCAAAATGTCGTACAAAGCTCTTGAGCTGACCATAAACTGCTTACTGAAGCCCTTACAGTTTCTAAATATAACTCAACACTTATTCAGTTTAAAAATGCCACATGCGAAAAACTAATTTACTTGGGTAATAAATTGTGACAATTGCTGTATTGTTTATGTGCCAAATATTTAATGATCCCTTCGAAAAATGAACAACAAAAGATGCAGATTACAAATGAATAATTACAATAAAAAAATACTAATTATTAATAATTTTTTGTAAAATTTAATGAGGCCAAACACAAATTAAATTGTGTTTGATGTGACCGTAACGTAGTAAATTTACATACGTTTTTTATATATTATATTAGTAACGCATTTGATGCCACGCCAGATTTGTCTTCAGTTTAAAAGAATTGTGACTAAATTTAACATTTTTCCAATCTATAAATAGAGAAACCAACATTGCACAAAATTGTGACATGACTTGGTATTACTAAGACGGTATGACCCAAAGAAAGGACTTCGCTCTACTTGAATTTTATGAAAATTATAGAAAAATAAATAGCTCATAGATTTAGTAATATTTACTGTTTACGTTCGTTTACATTTTTTCGCAGGGACGCACGGGAAAATGTTGTATTGTTGATTCATCAAATTTTATGACGTCATAAACGGTATAGAGTTTATACCGATAACGGTTTGTTTTTGCCAATGTTGCCAAATGAATTGTTATTTTAGCAGTAGAATTCATGTTGACATGATATAAATATAAATTTACTATATATAGTGGGGCTGTTATTAACGCGTCAATCCCCTCTTTCCATTTTGATTTTGATAGAGCCTACACGGCCATGTATCTGACAATGGAATTTTCGCGTTCTGATTGGCTTTATTAAATTAAATAGGGACAAATAGTATAAAAAATAGGAAAAAATTTTTAGTTAACTAAGTTTTTAGTTAACTAAAATATTTTTCAGGCATTTAAAATAGCTATCACGTAGAAAATAAGAAATAAACTTGAAGATGCTAATTATTTATTATCTAGTGCTGTTTTCTATCTGGAACGGAAACAACAATAACCAAGCTTAAAGTGGAATCCAAAAATCCATCTTAATTTAATTTAATCTATAGCTTCACATTTTACTTTAGATCTACTGCAAAGTTGTTAGACCTGGCAACGCCGGAATGCAGACTGCAGTGCGCGCATGCGCACTTCGCCGTTCTCTTTGCAATCGCCGCCATATTGCCGTTTGGTGTGTTTGCGTTGAAGTGACGCTTGCAAGAAGAAATCTTTCGTTTCATTTTTCTAGTACATTGATTTAGGTGAATCAAATTAATAACCATGGTCGACAAAATAGAGATGAGTTTAGAAGACATAATAAAAACAAACAAACCAGGTGGCCGCAGAGGCGGGGGTAGACGCGGGGGCCGCGGTGGGTCTCGTGGCGGGAATAGCCAGTCGAGAAGAGGCGGTGGTGGCGGCAATTTTAGGCGATCCGGTGGTAGAGAGGGCGGCGTCCAAAGAGGACGCGGTCGTGGCGGAATTACAAGAAGCTTCACCCGGGTAACTAATTATTCTACTTTTATTAAATGAGTTGTTTTTTTCATGTGGAACATACAGAGGGTTTGTAACCTATGATTGCGAATGTTCTACCTAAAATCACAGAGTAGCAGCCGATGTGACAACAACCATACTTGTTTCTTTAGGGAGACGTAAATGGTGCATGGAAGCATGATCTTTTCGAAGGCTTCGGACCACGCAAAGTGGCCGCAGCCCGAGCAGCCGTACAGGCTACTATGGGGCCCACCAAACTCATGGTATCAAATCTCGATTTTGGTGTCTCGGACTCCGATATCCAGGAGCTTTTTGCCGAGTTTGGGCCCCTTAAAAGTGCCGCTGTACACTATGACCGATCCGGTCGGTCGCTAGGCACTGCCGATGTAATCTTTGAAAGAAGAAGTGATGCCATCAAGGCAATGAAGCAATACAATGGAGTGCCTCTGGATGGACGTGCCATGAATATACAATTAACCACATCTGAAATTCCCTCGCCTGTTAGAAGAATCAACCAGCAGGAGAGGCCTAGGCAATTCAACAGAAGCCCGAGGGGAGGAGCCAAAGGGCGACCACAAAGAGGTAAATATACGAAAATTTCGGAAAAAAATATTCTTATTAACTAAAAAAACGAATTGCTAGGAAGGTTGTAGTATTAAATATTATTTACAAATGATTTTAATTGACGCGGCAATGTAATTCACCCGGGAATTCCCACCGAATTTCGGTAAATCCCCGAAAAAATAAACTGCGATACCTACATCACGGATTTCTGCTGTTAAATCATCCAAAAATATATTTCTATAACTTGTATTCATTTTATTAATATATTTTTAGGGTTCTGCTTTTGATTTAATAATTGTGCAAATTTTCTTTACTTATCCATTTATTTTCTTTGTTAAAGGTGGTCGCGGAGGGGGGGGTGGGAGAAACCCTAGGAACACAAGAAAAGCTGCTCCAACTGCGGAGGAGCTTGATGCTGAGTTGGATGCATACACCAAGGAAATAAAGTAGACGATTTTAAAGAAGTTTGATCTGTGAAAAAATCGAAAAAAAGACACTAGAGTGAATTTGTGAATTTTTTATTTTGTCAATTTTGTTTGTGACAGTAACAAACCAGTTGTTTATTTTCTGTATTGTGACACTTACTAAAAAGCCTTAAACCTTAACAGAATTCATTTTTATATTTAAAAAAAAAAGTTGAGTTGACATATTGTTAAATGTAAATTTTATGAATCTTAAAATAAATAAGACTTAGGATAAAACAAAGTTGTTCATTATGTTTTACTTTTAACCAAAGTTAATTGTATAATTTTATGCAAATTATTTCAAATAAAATAAAGTCCATTCTTATTTTACCTGAATTGGCCTTTTATTTTAAAAAGTAGATTATAAGTTGAAATAATAAACGAATTTTATAAAAAATTTCTTTATTTTTGTAAAAAACTAACCTTACAAGGATTCAGTCCAAAATCTGATATATGTATATCATCACACCAATGGTTTTTAACAAAGTATTAACAAAAATAAAAACAAATTGAGCAAAACTTGAATTGGGATAAAATCAAACCAACAAATTTAAAGAATACTTCACTTACAAACAAAAATATTTAAAATACATTAAAATTAAATCCAAATATTTATTTAAAATAACTATAAATCATTCAACCTTTTTCTGTCCCACTTTGGACTTTGCATTTTCGACCAGATCAGTAAAGACTTTTTGCAAAGAGTCTGACCATTTATTTAACATTCCACTAGAACTCATTCCAGGGATAAGCAGCACAAACGTTGTGGCCATATATGTTAGGAAAAGATTGTTAAATGATCCACCAATCCACGCAAGAAGTGACAAAGTTATAATTGTTACACTAAAATACTAAAAAATATATTTAATAATACAATATTATTCCTAAAAAAAAATCACTCACCACTTTAGAATTGCTCACCCTCATTTTATAGAAAGAAGTTAAAAGCAATTCTGTTTTAGTTTTGTATAATACAATATTCGTGCAAATATCCTCCAATTGTTTTTGTTTGTTAGGCGTCCATTGTTCATTTTTGTAAAGTGTAGAAACAATTGATGGCAAGACATAATCACACACAGTAAATAACAACCCCAAAAGTGATATAATTGTTAAAACATTTGGATCACACAACCATATTAACATAAACAAAATTGTGCTGCCTAAAAATGTATTTTAAAATCTATAGCTGCAACCAAATTAGTAATACATTTATTGTTAAAATAGTTTAAAACATCAGCAATAGATTTGGTTTGACATGTCCTTGATAATGATAAGCAGGAAATGATAAAAATACTACTGACTACCTACCTCCTATAATTGCCGTAGAATGCCAATGTTTTTCCCATAATAAAACACTATATATTTTTAAAACCAATTCTTTGCAACCTTCCAAAGAAAGTCTCATGCGTCTAATTTGCGCCTCCTAGAAAATGCAAATTAAACAAAAAGTCTTTGTTATAAAATTGTAGCAAAAAGGGGATTAAATATACCATGGAATGGGGAAAACGAATCTTATAATCAAATTTTAAATTACAGGCATTATCAGAATTATTCTTTGTGCAAGAATCTCCAACCAAGTGTTCAATATTTTTCTCTGTTTCCTTGAAAGTATTCAGTAGGGCAGCATGTGAAATAGTTAGTTAGAAACTCACCTCGTCTGACATCGCTAATAAAATTAATTATTTTCCAAAATAAATTTCTACCTATTTGACTGACGTATTTGTAATTTCGATTGTTTATTTGTTTAGAAAAGACGTTAAGTTTTTGGAACGACTGGTTGTCTGGTAGGTCTGGTAGCAGATACCGTGGTATTATTTGCGTCATCAAATCAACAATTAAAATGCTTAATTTTACAAACAATTAAAAAAATAAGAGATCTTAAAATAATGAATAACAAATTAAATTGTAATAACTAATAGGATTAAATATTAGACAACAATTTGTTGATTTAAAAAAGTGTAAGTGAACACTTCTAATTTTTACATTCACAAATATTTTGGTTCGACTAAAAAATTATAGATGGCATCGTGAAGAAACTATAAAATAAATTGTAATTATGCAAAATATAACAATCCAAATTAATAAAAACCAAACCATGTCATAAATAAATTTAATTTGCATTAACAAATATGATTTAAATTGCGCTTAAAGTCTGTGAGATTTAAATACTTTTTCCGTATATTTTGCGTTCAAGATTAAAGTGTGAATATGAGTGAATGAGAGCTTCTGATTGGTGGCAAAATTCAAAATGTGTCTCTATCTTCAGAAACGCCAATTTGATGTTGTTATGACGTTTCTGTCTTAAGTTGAAGCGATTAATTCTTAGTATTTTTGTTCAAAACTTGTGATATTTTATAAAAAATGGCTTCTGGAACGGTAAGCATCGTGCTGCGTGTTGGTTTTTACGTTCAGATAACGATTTTAATGGGTTTTCTTTATGTTTAGATGTCAAATAATGTCGAAAACCTTTCCCCACAAATTATAAGGGGGGTTGTTCGGGAAATGCAGGAACTAGTCACAAATCCTCCGGAAGGCATTAAAACGCAAATAAATGAGGAGGATGTTACAGATATCCAGGCGTATATTGAGGGCCCAGCAGGTATAGCATTTAAACATTTTAATGCCACATGATGTAACGTATTTTTTCCGATAGGAACTCCCTATATGGGGGGCATGTTTAGGGTTAAGTTAACCTTGGGCAAAGGTTTTCCACAGGAGCCACCCAAGGCATTCTTTTTGACAAAAATTTTCCACCCAAATGTTGCTTCCAATGGGGAGATTTGTGTGAATACCCTTAAAAAAGACTGGAAGTCAGATCTCGGAATCAAACATATACTTTTGGTGAGTAAGATCATTTTAATTTACATACTTTGGGTTTACAGGTTAATTTCCCATAAAGAGACAATTTTAATTGACTGCCTGTATGAACAATTTTTTGACAGAAATAAGATTTTAGATACCTAATAGGAAAAAATAAATAAATTATTGACGTATGTTTTACAACATTTTTATTGCGTTCTTCTCCATATTCTTTTTACATGGCATTTAAATATCGGCATCATTTTTTTGCCAGAGACATACACGGAAATTTTAGGTACTTTTCTTCAAAAGTGTGGTTAGAGAATATCTGTCACTTGGAAAAATAAAAATTTCAAGGTTATGTTGTTATATAAAAGTGAGGTTAGAAAGCAACTGTCACTGTGACAACTGCAGTGAATAGAAACTGCAGTTACAAAATCTACATTTGAATAAAGAATAACACAAAGTATTATTTTCAGACCATTAAATGTCTTTTAATTGTACCAAATGCAGAGTCCGCTCTAAATGAAGAGGCTGGTAAACTTCTTTTAGAGCATTATGATGATTATTCTTCGAGAGCAAAAATGATGACTGAAATCCATGCACAAGTAAGTCGTTTTTTGATCCTGTTAATTAAGTATTAATTTTTTGTAAACTTTAGCCCCATAAAAGTAGTAAGGGTGCACCTGGGGACGGTCCTTTGGCCAAGAAACACGCCGGTGACAAAAACAAGAATATATCGGCAGAGAAAAAGAAGCTTTTAAAAGAGAAAAAGAGAACTTTGAAAAGATTATAAGAGCTTTCCATTTTAACTATTTTTATATTTTTTTAATATTTCATATTTTCAATAAATGTTATGTACATGATTTTTTAATTTTATAGCTAAGAGATGTTTTAATTTATTTCACATATCATTTTTTAGTGTTTGTTTTGCATACTTTTTCATGATTTTATGAAAAAAAGAATATGATATATGTATAACAAACTAGTTATTTAAAAAAAACTTACTAGGCAAACTGATCAAATCAAGGTTTTGTTTCTATATTGAATGTATCTTTTTATTTTTAATTAGGTTTACTTAAGTACAAATGTAGTTTTTACTTTTTAAGAAAGTTCTAATTTAAGTATTTATGTTTGAGTGCAATTAATTTGTTTTATTTTCTTTGTACATTTTTTAGCATAAGTAATGCTTTGTCAAATTATGATTAAAGAAATTTCCATTGTAATTTGGGTTTTAATATTTAACATTTTCTCGGTCAGTTTTCCTTAATTTTTCGTAAACCTCCAAACTTAAATCATAAAAATAGTTTGAAATGTATAGGGTCCTATAAATATGAGACCAAAGAAAGTTATAGAGGATGTTATAAAAGTCATATTTGAAAATAATCCTGCTTAATTTTACAATTTAAAAAAAAAATGCCTAAAACTTCTACATTTGAATATTACCAACACCAAAAGGTCCACAAAACTGCTATCTTAAAATATAATTCAATAATATAAATTTCTGCGAATTAAAAATATCATGGTAGATATTTAAAAAATTAATTTTATGCCAAACTATTATTTTTAATTTGGTGAATTTAAAATATCTGTTTCTTGTATTTTTATTTTTTAGATAAACACCTATTTTTAATTCGTTAAATTAAAAATATAGGAGAAATTTTTAAATGCATTAATTATATTTATATACCCATCATAGGAGATGCTTTTATTTCATTTTAATTTTAGTTTTTTTAAATAAGCAGATATTTTTAATTGAATGTGATATTTTTAATTCAGATTGAAAGTTTGGACACCCCTGGTATTTTAAACTAATTATGTCGCTAGATGGCGGCACAATCACTGGGATCTACGACGTACGTGATTCCGATGTCGCACTGACCCTGCGTGTGTTGAACTCTCAATCAGTCAAAATTAAAAATTTCACATTCAATTAAATTTAATATATAAAAATTAAATCGAATTAAAAATATCTCCTATGATATTTTTAATACATTTAAAAATTTCTCCTATAGGTAATATTTTTAATTTAGCGAATTAAAAATATGTGTTTAGCAAAAAAATACAAAAATAAAATCAGTTTGGCATAAAAATTAAATCTAATTTTAAAATATCTGCTGTGATATTAATTCGCAGAATAAAAATTCTTACGTGATATTATGTAAAATTGAAAATATTACTTATAATTTTACAACACTTAAGTGTTAACACATAAAAATAATTCCTGAATAAAAATAAAACGGCGCCCAATAGGGTTATTTTAAAGAGTTAAAAATTAAAAAATCCTAAGAACATGGGGTTAAAAAAAAAGATTGCACTTTACTAATGCAAAACCAAAAATTTGTCAAGGCGATTTTTCTTCAAAACGTACGTACCGAACTTCGGTTTCACACCTTTTAAACAAGAGGACCTCTTTTGTGTAAAATTAAATGAAAACTCATGAAATTGAAGCAAAGTACACAATAACGTAACTTAAAAATGATAATATGTAAATACATTAATGTAATAATTAATAATAAATTTTGGCACAGGCTTTATAGTAACCAAATGCAAACTCAATATATTAATTAATTAATTAATTAATATATTGAGTTTGCATTTGGTTAATAAATTTAACTTAAGATATCTTTATATAAAATATAAATGTATCTTTCTTATACGTATAGCATTTTCGACCCCATGTTCTTTTTTTCATATTTTGCGCTGTAGACTATTTTTAAAATATTAATTTCGTACCATTTAACACGATTTCCCATTTTTTGGTCCATAATGTATATACCTACTGTCGAGTGAAGAGTACCTTCTTTATCTCTGAGAGTACCTACCAAGCTATACCTAGGTATACAGTAAAATGTTTTTTTCTACTCCTATTATGGAATTTGACCGTTCTAATATCACTTTTATCTATGGAATGATATATATTCCGTGAAGTGTTACAGAATGAAATATTCTATCATCGGATGACAGAATAAACACTCGTGGCGACATCTAACAAATTTTAGACCGATCCAACCTCACTTTCTTCCAATCAAATTATTTTTCTATTGTAGGTATTTTTTAAAAACTAAGTATAGTCTGAAACACGTTTGGAATTGAATATTCCCCTCTCGTGAAACCGTCAAACTCGCCTTTGGCTCGTGTGACAAACTCTTCACTCGAGCGGAATATGCTGAATTCCAAACTTGTTACAGAATATACTATTCTAGTCGCGTGCGCAAAGTATTACTTATCCGCGCGTATTTGCGTGGCTAATCCAGGAATAAGATTATCAATTTATGAAGCCTAGTATTTTTAATTAAAAACAAAAAATATATATACTTAATACAATATTTTTTGTTTTTAATTAAAAATATTATTATATTATTTTTAATATAAAAATATAAGTAACGACTTTCTGCACGCTTGTAAAAATGAAAATATTGTTTCACGCGCAAAGTAATTTTTCCGCACTTATAATTATAGTAGTTCAGGCAAGCAGTATACTCAAGTATACTGCTTGCCCAAACTCCACTTCGCGTTGTTAAAAAAATTAACTTTGCGCAATTGTTGAGAAAATAACTATATTTATTTTAAAAACTATTTAAAAATATTTTTCTGAAATTTTGATAATTGCAATACCAAATTTGTTTATTTAAAATCTTTTCTAATTTAAATGTAACATTCATGGTGTCATGACACCTTCAAACAAAAACTATTGTAATTGTAAATAAAAATTAATGTAGTAAGTATTATTTCACTTCCCTTTGATTGTAAATAACAAAATTTGATTACAATTTCTCAAGGTATTCTTGGTTTCTCTGTAAGTACATTTTTTAATCATAAATTTTTTTTATAATTTTACATACCTTATAAAAAGATTTTATCTCAATCTCAAAAGCGTTTTTAACATTATTGGAACATTATTTTGAATGTATTGTAAAACATGTTGAAGAAAAAGACAAACAAATATGTTAATTATTTCTTTATTTTATAACAATATTTAAAAGTACATCCTAAATAAATTACAATTTTCTATTCTTTTTTGCTTTGGCACCTTTAAGGGCGCCAGCCTTTGCTGCCTTAATAATATTCTTGAATTGTCCACCAGACTTTTTCTTCAACCTAAAAAGCAAACAATAAAAAAATGTTTTGCATTCAAATACCAAACCTACCTCTTATTTAAAGCACTCTTTTGCAAAGGCAAATAAGCATAAGGATCAACTTTTCCCTTCTTCTTTACATCACCACTTGCTTTTCTTGATTTATATTCACTTCCAGCCACAGAGGAAGAACTATCCAAAGGCCTGCAATCAAAAGTTATACATATGTTAGATTTTGTATTTTTCTGGGTAATGATTTAAATTAAATGGATATATTGTTCTGACATTTCTGACCTTTTTTATTAGAATTTTGATATTAAAACTCACCTGTGAATACCAATACCGCCAGTTTTATATTTTGTAGGTGGATGTTGAGAAGAAGCTGCACTAAAGCCACTTTTAACACTAGCTGTGCTTCTTTTGCGTTTGCGATCAGCTAACATTAAAGTCTCAGCTATACTATTATTATCATCTGAAAAAATACAATTTTGTATGTACAGTTGCAGAAAATAGTAATGTTTTGAATAGTGCATTATTATTGTCTGTGACAATACAATTTAAAAAAAATTCATACAAAATTATATGATTTTTACTTGATGATTGATAAAAAATTTCAACAATAAAATGTACAAAAAAAAACGACTTAAAACACACAATATTAATATTTTTGAATGACGTACCTGAATCAGAGTCTTCCATGTTAAACTTTGATGTTTTTTTCTCACTATCGCTGTCGGAAGAATTGTCTTTAATAATAAGACGACCATCTAAAGCTGTTTTGAAGCCTCGGTCTTTTTCGGGTTTCTTCGTAAGAGTTGGCTTGGGTTCTTGTCCAGGTTTAGTAGCTAAAAAATAAAAAAAAATAACCGCTGTAATAAATGTGTTGGTGTAAAAAAGTACATAAAATTTTTCTAAGAACCATTAACCCAAAAAAAAAAAATTTAGGTACCTGTAATTTTACTGGAGACAGTGGGATCAGTAAAATCTACAATCGAGTCAGGATCTTCCTCGATCCAGGTGTTAACCGTCTTAGATTTAGAAGGTTTCTGTTTGGGTTTGGACTGTTCCACCTCCATATCTTCGAAATCTGAGTCTGAATCGGCCAAAATATCATCCACACTAAAAAAACACAATATAAATATGTCTTCGCTAAAAAAAGCAAAGTTCTTCATGCCTATTTAATTTGTTCTTCACCAAGAACTCTTCATCGTCGCTGTCGCGATCATCCTTGTTCGCGTCCTTCATCTTCTTCTTTCTGGCGTTGAGTTTTCTCAGGTTTCTGAGTCGTTTGAACATGACCGTATCGGTTTGCGGCACGTGAGGCGAGAGACTTTCACAGCCGTATTTTCTTATTAGTCTGTCTAAAATATCGCGCACTTTTAAACGGAAGTGCCTCTTGCAGTCTTCTGTCATCTCTACTAAAGCTTTCATCTGATGAAAGAGAAAATAATTAATTCAAAATTATTTAAAAAGACACTCCTTTTTATTAAACATTCGCTTTTTTTTTAAATTTTAGTACAAATATTTTATTTTACAAAATTATCGGTTTAAATTTGTAGTCATCTAAATGACTCTTTACAAATTTAAACCAATAATTTTGTAGAGTAAAATATTAGAACTACAATTTATTTAATATTGTTTTACAATTGTACAATGTTTTACAATTTATATATTATTGTTTTAAGTTTAAAAAAATTTAACTTTTTAAACTATTTTGGTAGAAAATGATTTTTTATGTGTTTTTATTTTAAATGTCTCGACACTATTTTTAAATATTAAAAAAATTAACTTTACCAAATTAATCTAAATAATTTAATAATCATTTAAGATTTACAAAATTCTGACAAAATAAATTACACTTAAAAAATTGTATTAAAAAATTATGGTTAGAAATTTTTGCAAAAATTTATTGGAAATAATATTGTTTAATACAGAAATGAACTGTTAGTACAGTTCGGTTCCAGCGCTCGAGAAGACACGTCGCGTGCGGGAAAGCTCTTGAAACGTAAAAGTTTAAAGATAAAACCAACAATAATTAAAAAAAAAAAGTGCAAACTAATAAGTGAAACAAACATTTTCATAGAGTGCAAACTAAAATGGTGTAACGGTCATTGAGGAGTGAAGTGCTGAGTGATATGAATGAGTTAAGTGCCACCTCGTCACCCTAATATAACAAGGTTGTATGTTAAAAAACCGAAAAATTTGAGTTTATGCTTCTACAAGATTTTATGTAATCCACCCTTGACATACAACTATATATATGTATACATAGAATATACATTCTATAGAATTATTTTTAAGTGGTATGTGAAGCGTAGGCCACGTATAATCCTGTAGACACATAGACTTAAATTTTTCGTTTTTTTTTAACATAAAACCTTGTTATATTAGGGTGACGACCTGTCATTGGAGGCTTTTCACTGGACAGACAGGGGAGGTCAAACAAGAGGGGAGGTGGCCATCCGCAAAAAAAAGCTGATAAGTTACTTTAAAATATGCATGATCTGATACAAATCTGCAAATTAAATACGGCAGATCCCAGCAAACATTTTCCGTTATTTGTCACCATTAACATTGCCCGTAGTCATTTTATTAAACATAACATTTATTTTACTTGAAAATGTTAAAATAACTTTAAAATATGATTATGTTAAGAACATATTTTACTCTTTAAACAATTGTTTTGTTTTTAATTACTATCATTGCAAAATTGTATTAAAAAGTATTAAAAATTCTTACACGGGCAATGTTGATGGTGTTAGGTACCGTTAAAGTGTTTATTGGGATATCTTTAAAACCTATGAAAGGCACACGGCAAATCTGTCAACAACAAATGCGTAAGGCAATCCCAATCGAGACCGAAAATAAACACTAGACTTACAGAATAAACTAACACATTAATCATAATTCTAACACATTAAAAAAAAGCCTAATAGCCAAACTCGAGATTTGTTAACATTAGACAACAGAATAACCGCGCTTGTAATTTGTTTAACTAATAAATAAATGCAATGCTTAATTTTGGAATTTAATAAAAAAAGACAAAACTCTATCACAAAACGTGCTTGGGACAAAATTTATTAAACACAACTGACACACTTTACCAAGGGCAGGAACTATCTGACCAGGACACGGACAATGACAATAACGAACAAGACAAAGACCTCGACTAGGAAACTACACCCCTGCAGCGAAATAACAACTCCCTAACTCCAAATAGTAATCCCAAATGTTTGGAGTAATACTAATCGACTGGTCTAGGGGGATTCCGCGTCGTACTTAGTTTTAAGTCGGCGTAATTGTCCCCCAAAAACCAACACCCTCCCGTCCCTCCTCCATACCCCACTGAGCGTATAGCATAGGCTCGGCGAACCCGGGAAAGGCTATTAAAACTATTCGCCTCTCGCTCTCGAGCCCCAAATAGGGGACAGTACGGAACGCAATGGACATTCGCACCCAGCAAACACGGGTGAAGCCGTGCAGTTGCTGGGGAAGAACAAAAATCGGCGTAAGTAAACATAGGCCTGTACGGGGTTCGAGAGTCAAGAGGAAATGGGGCTAGTTATACGTCTCTTATACTCATACTCATACTCATACAGAAATGAACTGTTAGTAAATGTTCAATACATTATAGCCGCCCCCTTTTTCTCTGTGGCGCGAGTTCTGGGACACCCTGAATAAAATGTATAAAATATTTCCTACAAAAAATATACTTCATTTTTTTTTTCTTAATTCAACCGTTTATAAGTTTTTTCTAAAATTTTATTTTATAAATAAATAAAAAAACATAAAATTTGAAAAACCCCTTTGAAAAATAACGGTAAAAAAACATGAAAAAACGTTACATCACACATAATATGATATAATATGATAGATATATGATTAGAGAAAACTTATTAATAATAAGATTTAATAAGTAGCTCAGGCAGGTGAGGGGGCGGGCTTGGGTTAGGTAAGTTGGGTTGTGGTTTAAGGTAGTTTAATGCCAGAGCGTTTTAAAATCGAACAACACTTGATAATAAGGATTTAAATTCAATTCAATTAAAATTCCCTGAACGTTTTAATTTGACAACAGGCAGCGTAGCTCACATGGTTTATTTACTGTATTTGTTGCACCAAGATCGATCACTACCGGGATCGATCACTACCGAGATCGATCACTACCGATAGACGGGTAGACGAGCAGACGTGCTTTCGAACGAATTCGATCTTTCTTAAGTGTACCTAATAATAATAAGTCTTAAAGAAACATAAAAATGTAGTTTAAGGAAAATACTGTGCGAAATTGGTGCAAAGATTTACTACCTGAACAAGAAAAATCAGTCACTGATTATCAGTATACCTGTTGTTAATAGAAAAAAGTAGTGCATCAAAAAGCGACCCTCAACAAGTGAATATAGTAAATAAAGACCATACGGACACGGAAGTAATTAAGTGATAAGTGACAGCATACCTGGAGATTTAACTCCAGGCCAATATGAATTACCTTATGTAAAGAACAAACGAGTCTAACCAAGAGTGGAAGGGGCCATCATCTGCAAAAATCTGAGAAGTACTAATTAATCGCATGACCTAACAGCAAATTCGCCACAAAAACCTTACAATAATCAATCATTATTACTGAAAACAGCGTAACAGTGTAAATAAACCAATCATTAGGTAAAAAAGTCTCAAAACCTAAATATGCATAAACTTAATGCCGGTTTTACACCAAACCGACTAGTTGAGTTGCTGTTTTGTTGCTGTTTTAAAAAACAAAAACTCAACTGTTTTTAACGATAAAACTGTTCACACTAAACAGACAAAAATTAGTTACTGTCGAGTTTTTGTTTTTTGTCGTTTTACATCAGAGAAACAGTTGCAGTTTTGTTTAGTTCTATTCAGAAAGTAGATGGTTGTTCATTATTTTATATTATTTATTTAAAAAAATTAACATGGATAGTGACGAGGAACGCTTTTTTTTCTCGTGTGCGGTTGGCTGTTGGTAGGTGATTTAGAAAAAAAAAAAGAAAACGTCTTACACGCAGGTATACCTGCGTGCAATATATTGGGTGAGATCCTTATTAAATAGAAGGAAATATGATGGTGGTGCAAAGATGTTAATAAATTTACAAAAGGACGACATAGGGTTAAGTGGCGAATTACGTTCTTCTTATCAACTCAAGTTGATAACATACGTTTACACCAAGCCGACTGAGTTGCAAAAAACGTAGCAACTCTTTGAAGTTACCGACATCGATCGGGAAACGAAAAACACAACAGCAACTGTTGAGTTGCCGAAAAATCTTCAAAAAATCTGCAAAAAGTTGCGGTTTTGTTTTTTTCAACTCGAATTGCTGTTTTGTCGGTTTGGTGTAAAACCGGCATAAGAGGCTAGCCCCAACAAAATTAAAAAGTTTAAAGTTTAACGAACGAAACTAAAATAAACAGCCAGTTCCGCGATTTGCCTAACATAACTAAATACCTCTAAATTTTAGGCATCGAACAAAAGTAATAGACTGCTGCGTGTCGTATAAGTAAGTATAAATCAATCTAAATAACATTATGAGTTGGTGTTTATCAGTTTCTTACGTTTTCAGTTATAAAAATGGCTGTAAATTCATTAAATATTGGTTGGATAACATTTTTTATGAGTCAGCCCTTTTTTCTACATACTTTTGGCGGTTTGCTGTAAAAAATAAAAAGAAACGATTTTTTTCAAAAATTGTCCTTTAACGACTCCTTCTGGTGAACCAATGCGAGTTACACAAAAAAACTCAAAAGCAATTTTGAAGAGCCTGAAATTTCCCACAAGGTCCATCAAACCGATTTGCAATATTGTCAAAGGTGGGTAAACATTAGAAATTTTAAAAATATTTTTTACATGCATTTTAAACGGTAAAACTTTAAATTTAAATAGTAATTACTTAAAATTCATATTAATCGCTCAAACTTGTTAAGATTTTTTTTTCTATATGGAGATTAATATTTTGCTTGAGCACCGAAAAAAAAATATTGCGGAAATGAATCACCCTAGTACATGTACCCTATAATAAATTATAAATTGTACTTACTATAGTTGGCAATGATGCAGCTACAATTGGACTAGGCATACAGGTACTATACACTTTAATAAAACTCAATGAAGAGGCCACAACTTCTCTAGTGGCTGAAGTGGACAATATACAAACATTTTCCAATAATTGCCTTATATTGTCCTGTCCCAAAGCACCTACAATAAAAAAAAATATAACAACAACCGTGCATAATTTTTTATACCGACCAGAAAAATGGTGCAAAACCGAAGTCAACGCCAAAATAGTGCAGCTCATCAGCTGCGGAGTGCCGGCCAGACCTGCCACCAGCAGCGCCAAAAACTCGTTGACTTGGTTGTGGCTCATGAGAATCTCACCCACCGAATTAATCAAACTGTACGCCATCGTTCTGCACTTCTCGTTGATGTCCTTGCAGCACATCACAGCTTCAGCCAAGGTAGACCTGACGAGCTTGCTGTCCTGATCCAGCTGCGGTTGCGCTTTTATCAAGTAGCTCAGGCATCTGAGCCTGCTACCCTTGCTCGAAACCGCAGCCGAGTTCAGCGATTTCAACAGCAACCTCTGAACATCCTTCCTGTTACTTTTGATGAACTCCTTGCACCCCTCCGACTCGCTGCCGCAGATCTCCTCCAGGATTCTGTACGCTTTTTTCTGCTCCTTGTTGTTGGTTATTTCCGGCAGGTTTTTGACGCATTGCTCGTACAACTTGGCGATGTTTTCGGCTTTTTGGTACGACACAAGGGCCCTGATCAGGTCCAGGATGCTTTCCTTGATAAACGAGTCTTCCGGGTCTTCCGAGGAGCTGTTTAAGCGCTCTAGAGCGTGAGCGAAGAGTTGCTGAGTTAGTTCCGTTCTGGCGACTGATAAAAATACCTGAAATTCGCGTTTAAGTATAAAAATATGAAAAAAATAGAAACAAACCTTAATGGTATCCAATGCAGCCAACCGCTGTCCCTCCTCGTCGCTACCAATGGGTTTAGTAGTATAAAGGTTAAACAAAATGGGCAAATAATTCTTGTCAAATCTAGAAATTTCCTTTAAGTCTTCTTCACATTCGCTTTCTTTCGCGCTTGTTATCAACTTCCTCAAAGCGGCCATAACAGCCAATCGAAGCTCCTTTTTATCGGAAATAACTGTACCCAGAACTTTAGCAATAGTCTAAAAATAAATATATTTGTAGTAACTATCTTATCAATTATAATTTGATTTTTTTACCTTAAACTCCTTCGCAATATCTGTAGGTTTGTTACAGAAACATGGCAACAAATTCCATAATTGTAGATAGAGCAATTCGGAGCTGTGAGCTCCGATTCCGTCATTTCTTTGCGCTAACTGCGTAGCGCGGTTTTGACAGAATAGAGCCAAAGGTAGAATACCTTTAACGAAATATTCCAGAGTAGCGCATTTTATGTTTTCTTTAAGGACAGGCAGTAACCAAGACCTGTCTATATTTAGATCACCGTTATCTTTCTAAAATAAAATAAAACATTTTTAACAAAGTAAACACCACATTTGGGTAATTCTTTTACAAACCGAACACCTTTTGACCGACACATCTCAGATTTGGCTGAATTTTTTTTTACGGATTCTATGTTGAAAAGTAAGAGACACGTGTCCGAGGAATTTTTTTTCTTTCGCTTATTTTCGATAATACAAGTGATCAATCAATTTTTAACAATGGCCCCCACCTCGTATTAAGTTTTTAGTATTTTTATCGTATTCTCCGTCAAATTTTACATAAAAAACATGTTTTCAAAATATGGTACCTTTATTATTACTATTGTTAAAACATTAATTCATATTGCGCGACACATAAAAAAACGGTTTTTTGTTAATAAAAAGAAAACTATAGCTGGGATCAAAAAAAGTCAAATATAAAAGTTGTAGATAATAAATAGATCTACAATTTTTATTTTAACTTTTTTCGACATAACCTTACTTTTTAAATAAATTGAAAAAAATGTTAAAAATCACCTCTTTTAAATTTATTAGCAATCAATACCATGAAAAAAATTATCTACAACTTTTATATTTAACTTTTTTTGATCCGAGCTATAGTTCTCTTTTTATTAACAAAAAACCGTTTTTTATATGTGTCGCGCAATAAGAACTAATGTTTTAACAATAATAAAGGTACCATATTTTGAAAACATGTTTTTTAAATTTTATTTAATTTTAATTTTTATTAAAAATATTTTGTTATCAAAATTCAGTCCTTTAGCTTTAAAATGAAAAAAAAAGATGTTTGTAGCTCAAATAGAACCGGAGTTATAAATTTTTGAAAAAGGGTCTCCAAGCCAAAAAGCTTGTTTTTCTCAAATTTTTGATCACTTGTATTATCGAAAATATGCGAAAGAAAAAAAATTCCTCGGACACGTGTCTTTTACTTTTCGACAAAGAATCCGTAAAAAAAGTTTCAGCCAAATCTGAGATGTGTCGGTCAAAAGGTGTTCGGTTTGTAAAAGAATTACCCATTTATCTATTTCCGGTAAAATTCCCCACAATGTTCAAAAAACGTTCGTGTTCATGATACAAATTTGTATCATGGTCGTTGAAAGTAAAATTTTAGCAGGCGACAGAAGTGACGTCACAGCTTGCACCGTCTCAGAAAATATTATATCAGGAGAGAATAGTCTCAGTTTTTGAAAACTGCCCAAATTTGGATAATTAAAAACTGTCCTTACATGCTTAAATTTAAATAATGTTAGGATACATCTGCACAATAGTTCAAAATTAAAATATAGTTAAAAATATTATAAAAATGGTTGGAAAAATTCGCACAGTAGGACAAATTCGCACAAAACGATAAATTAAAAAAAAATTATTTTATTTTTATAAAAAAACATATTTTATTATAAATTTTATAAGAGAAGGTCAATGAAAATTCAAATTAAATTAAAGTCTAAATATAAAACAACATTTTTTTATTTTAAAGAAAAAATCATAAAATTTTTATTTTGCATTTAGACTTTAAATTAAATTGTCATCGACTTTCTCTTATAAACTTCATTTCATGTTTTTCCAATTTCTAAACATTTTTTATGGGAATGTCATTTTTAAAATTAGCAGTAGTTTTTATGAAGGATGATGATTTTCCGTAAAACAAATAATAAAAAAGTTTTTCCTATTGGCAACCCCATCTAGCTAGACCCATAGGAAAAACTGTTTTATTATGCCCTATAGGGACTCACTGCAGTGTATATAAAACTAAAAAATTACATGAAAATGTTGCCAAAAAAACAAATTAGTATTAAAAAATTGATTATAGCTTACCTTTAATGTTATAACACCTAGAACTATTTCAGGTCCTAAAGCCCTAATGGCAGCACCAACAGCATGTTCCAATTCATTGTTATAACTGAATTTATAAGAATCTCTCAGTTCAGCCAAAGATTTTAACGGACCAATCATTAAATCGCTACAATGTGGACCTGCGGCCTAAAATAATGAAAAAAAAATATATTCCATATTTTATACACATAAAATCAAAATTACCTCAAACATAATGCTGTAAGTGTGCAATACTTGATGCCAAACGGTGTTATATTGATAACCCAACCCAAGCTGTATAGCATTGAAACATTTCTCCAACTTGGAACGGTGCTGCAACACTGATTCCTTAGTCTGACAGATAGGGGACGCAGCATCCTTCAAAAGTATCTCAAGCGCATGCGTAGCCCCCGTCATAACTTCCGCTTTCTCCGACAGCCACAATTGAGTGACAGTCTGGAAGATTTTCGGCAGGGCGAGACTGGACATACCAACATCAACGCTAAAATAACGCATTTTAAAATATCTTATTTTCCCGAAGAAATTAGCGGAATTTACTCTGACAGGTGTACGTGAGCTTGCTGCATCACGGCCAGCCACGCCAACGTGGGTTGAACGTCAGTTGTTGCCGGTTGGTATTCATAGAGGGCGGTGATGATCTGCGCGTTCAACTGCGCAGGTACGACGCACTTTTGCGCGGAAAATAGGCTGTGCATTACTTGCAAACCGCACGATGTCACAATGGGGTAGTTTAGGGTTAATAGTTGCAAAATTGCTTCACAGCATTTCTAAAAAATTGTATTTGGGGTAAATGTACATTATAAACGTCTATCGGCTCTCACATTAATTAGCTGTGACGTGTTTTAAAGTGAAAAAAACAGTAAATTTTGAATAAAACCGGTTTTTTCCAGGCCTAGGAAAAATTGGCTTTATTGGGAAAAATTTGTTTGTGGCAAATATACACATTAAAAAAAGTAGCAATCAACAACTTAACATTATTTTAATTAAAAAAAAGGTGTCCGTTAAAAATATCCAACTACAAAATAATAAATGATTTATAAAGTAAAATTAATAATAATTATTATATTCATAATATTATGATTATTATCATCTTTGGAAATTCACTTTTTTTCCCGATATAAGTGTAAGGAAATTTGTAAATTTTTCTGAAAATTTCTTTTTTTTTTAAGAAAAAACGGTTTTTTCTCGCCGGCTCAGGTTAAAACCCTAGATGTGACTATGACGGACCAAAGTTAGCCTTAATATAAATTGGGAAAAAGTGAGGTTAAAACCGTTATACAGATGTCAGATTGGAAAAAGTAAGCATTGAGCTGTCTGACGGATGTCAGAAGTTTAACAAATAAAATTGGCTCTAAATTCTGTGATCGTCGTAGACTAAGTATAGTTAAGGTGACCAACTTTCTAAAATGAAAAAGCAAGACACAACATGCCCTCCTCGCCCTTTCAAAAAATAAACAAAATTTATTTCATTTAATATTTGAAAAAAAGATGAGCTAATAACGTCAAAAATAAAAAAAACCCTAAAGGTACTAAAAATTCAGATTTTTTAATTTATTTTTAACCTGAGCCCCCACCAAAAAAATTAGAACAAATCCTAAAAAAGTGGTAAAAACTCATAATTTAAAAAAATAACGGTTTTTTTCTCACTTTTTTACTATCTTAAAGGTACTCTCTGATTTTTCAATTAATTTTTAACATGAGCCCCAACCACTTTTAATAAAAAAATTAGAACAAATCCTAAAAAAGTGAAAAAAAGTTTTAATTTTTTATAATTATAACGAGGTTTTTTCTTACTTTTTTACTCTTCTAAATGTACCTACTTCCAAAGTTTTAGATTTTTAAATTAATTTTTAGAAAAAAAAATTTTAAACGAGGTTTTTTCTTACATATTTACTATCCTGAAGATTTTTAAATTATTTTTTAACCAACCACATTTGGATAGCGTTTATCGAAAAGGAACCAAGCGCAAAAAACAAAATAGCTCAATTTTAATGCTGCTCAAAAAATTAATAATATTTGGGAACCTTCTCAATACTTTTGAGAAAAGTTCCAAATGATGATTAACCTTTTGGGCATTATTAAATATGAGATATTTTACAAACTTTACCAAGCCCAGAAAAAGTTTTTGGCGCTTGGTTTCTTTTCGATAAGAGTTATCCATTTAATAAAAAAATTAGAACAAATCCTAAGAAAGTGGGAAAAACTCATAATTAAAAAAAAACAAGGTTTTTTCTTACTTTTTTACTATTCTGAAGGTACTTTAAAAAATTCAGTTTTGTAAATTAATTTTTAACCTGAGCCCCAACCACTTTTAATAAAAAAATTAGTATCCTAAAAAAGTGGGAAAAACTCATAATTTAAAAAAAAATTTAAACAAGTTTTTTTCTTACTTTTTTACCATCCTGAAGGTACTTTCAAAAATTCAGATTTGTAAATTAATTTTTAGCCCAAGCACCAACCACTTTATAAAAAAATAAAAGAACATATCTTAAAAAAGTGAGAAAAAATCTTAATTTTTTATAATTTTTCTTTACAAATGAGGTTTTTTCTTACTTTTTTACTCTTCTAAATGTACTTCCAAAGTTTTAGATTTTTAAATTAATTTTTAACCTGAGCCCTGACCACTTACAAAAAAATTGCTATTAATAAAAAAATTAATATAAACCAGGACAAAACCAGTAAACAATTAAAACAAGGACACATTAGCAAAAACCAGAACCTGTCCTGGGTAAACCAGGACGGTTGGTCACCTTAAGTATAGTACCTATGCAACTTGTTTTATAAACTTCTCTAGACACTCGTTTTTATTAAACTTAGATTGTGGGTCATTCCACGTTACTCGGTAATTTTTGTCCCGCCCGTCACAATTAAAAATTGTGAGTAAAAACCACAAGTTATAAAATTAATATTTTATAATATTATTTTTATTGTGCTTATAACTTATTAAAAGCATAATAAAACAATATTTTTAAATAAATTTTATAACGTGTAGTTTTTACTCACAATTTTTAATTGTGACGGGCGGGACAAAAATCCCTGAGTAACGTGGAATGACCCTTGTGTATAATTAAAATTCATGACTAAAATGTCGTTTATAAAACTTGTTACATAATATAGTTAGGTACTATAATATGTCCCTATTAGGGATTTAACTTCAGCTACATGTAGCTAAATTTTAGTTTAAGTCATAGACTTGTCTTAATTATTCATAATTTTGAATAAAAAGACAAAAAAAATTATGCAAAATATTATTACCTTAATATGGTTTACAGAGAAATAACTGATTGTTTCCTTTAAAAGTCCCAACACATGTAAAATTGTGGTTTGCCCAGTTTGCAAAGTCGAAACAGATACAGTACCAGAATTACTACCAGTACAAGATTGTAAGGTTTCCTCACAAAATATGGCAACTGAATTTGCTGGTATATTTGTTCCATTAGCAAAAGTTTCAGATCTTAAAACATGTGTAGCAGCTTGTTGTGCTGCCTTTCTCCACTACAAAAAATATCATAATAAAAAAATAAATAAGGATGAAAATAAAAATAAATACCTTAGGTTTAGAGTGAAGACTGAAAGGATTCAAAATAGCCTTATAAATTTGATTGGTTGAACCACCTGTCCAAGACGCTAAATCTTGTGTTTTTAACATGTATGATAGAACTTGAAAAATAGACTTTATAATTTGATTGTTGTCAGAATTAACATAGTCATTAAGAATATGTAACATTTTAACAGTAACATTGTCAAAATTAGTCCTCAGTACACCTTCAGGTACAGTTTTAATCCCCATACTTATCAATGATAAAACTGCTGTTACTTGACTTTCATTTTTTTCTTCTACATTATAAACTTGTTCCAACGTTGTCAACTAAAAATATTTGTAAATATCAAACATATCATACCACTAAAATATTATACCAAAGAACAAAAATACTCAGTAGGTGTCTCCTTTCCCCCATTCTCTTTAATAACCTCCGTTATAGCAGCCAAAATAGCTAACATTTCTTTGTGCAGTGCAGAATCAGATCTGAACACTTTCATAAACCTACTAAACGACATGTTACTGCAAGCTGACCAATCAGAAGCAAACGATTGCATTGTTTTATAAGAACTTCCACTCGCCACCGAAGATTCAACTTCTTCGTCCATTTCAATATCATTTTTAGGTGCATTTGGTAAAAACGACTGTATGGCATCGTGTTTTCTTAAAGCGTCGGATGTTAGAGAACTTGTATCTACAAAATATAACAATATTATTAAAAAAACACTAAATAAATTTAATACTGTACCTAAATTCGCTTGAAAAAATCGATTCTTCGCCAAATCTCTGTGTTTATGCGTTTCAGGGTTCGAGCTGGAACTCTGACCCTTCAGCCAGCGTTTGCCCTTCGTTTGGCCTTTCAATTTACTTCGAAACTTGCCCATATTCGCTGTATTTTATCGGAAAATAGCCGCACGTGTTTACTTTATTTTGAATTTGAGGTTAACTGTGAACTAAACGTTCTATGGTTTGTTCTGTGAACTAAACGTCAATGTGAATGGGAATTATTTTACAGTGCTGTAAAAAGTTAACTCATCTAGGTCTGGACTTGGACGAAGGTAGGCAAGCCAGATAACACAAAATTTTTGTTTGAAAATAGTTTTAGAATATGAGTGAATTTCATTGTTTATAATATTTTTTCATTTTTATCTATATTTTAGCAATTACTAATCTTCCGTGTAATTTTTAATAAAAAAGGTAATGTTGTGGTTAATGACTGTTTTTGTAGGTTTTTTTAAGGGCAAAGGGTAATGCAGAAAGTCATTAGTGCTGATGTTTAGATGACGTAATGGATAATCGCGAAAATCTCATTATTTTCAGCCCACGCATTAAAGTTTGTGATTTTTTCGACTCGACTTGTTTGGCTCCTTCGAGATAGAAAACGGCGGGACGTAGCTCTTGGATAGATTTATTAAACAGTCTCATCAATGAAATGACGTAAAGTAGCGCCTATTGGCTGCCAGGACCCACCCCACGTGATCAACGACCAATGAAAGCGCCGGAATCGGTCGATTTTTGCCGCACACTTTCGTTGATAGGCGATCCGGCAACGTTGCGCTGGCCATTCTGTGTTTTGTCTCAGAAGTAGCTAGATGTGCCTGGGTCCAGTGTTGATGCACTTTTGTTTTGTTATGTACAAATGAGTATGTTTGTTTAGTGTGGAGAACTTTGTATTGGTGTTTTTGTAATATTGTTGTCTTTAAACATGCCTACTACACCCGAGTGCGATTACGACTTGGTGTCCAACGAAGGGCTTCTGGCTTTATTGCGTAACGAGTCGAAAAACATTGTGATTTTGGACTGTCGCAGCTCGAATGAGTACGGGGAATCGCATATCCGCGAGGCGGTGAATTTCTCGATTCCCTCGATTATGCTGAGACGCTTGGCCGCTGGAAAAATCGACCTGGCTGCCACAATTAAGTGCAGGGAATTGAAACACAAGATCTGCAACACGTACAAGGAGAATTTGTTCATCTTGTACAACGATTTGAGCGGAGTTCAGCACACCAGTGACTCCGTACTCAGTGTTTTATTGAGACGGTTAACCCAAGATGGTTGCCGTGTGGCCTGCCTTGAAGGTTAGTTTATTTTTCTTTCAATATTCCCCCTTTAAACCTTTATTAAACATGCCTACACATGTAAACTTTTAAGATGCAGGGGTAGTTTATGAATCCAAATGGTTTGAATCAAAGCTAGCACCAGTCAGTTTCTATTGTTTTGATCCACAGGTATAGCGGACCAAACAAATAATCAAAACATTAGCAATACAGCGGGGTCTCACAGTGTAGCCGAGCTGCATGCACTCACTATTCATTGAATATTTTTTTAGGATTCTCTGTGATTAATAACATAAGACTGTTTCATTCATATTAGGTACCTACAATAAATTAATCAAGTAAAATTAGACGAACAGAAGGCTATATTTGGTTTCTAATTAAAAAAAATACACGTTTTAGATTATGTTTAGGTAGGTAATATTATTTAATGAATGTGATATACCTAAACCATGCGTCCATGTGTAAGTTTTAATAAAAAAAATCTAAAAATGTATTTAGATTTTTTTTATTAAAACTTACACATGGACGCATGGTTTAGGTATATCACATTCATTAAATAATATTACCTACCTAAACGAACAGAAGGCTATATTTGGTTTCTAATTAAAAAAAATACACGTTTTAGATTATGTTTAGGTAGGTAATATTATTTAATGAATGTGATATACCTAAACCATGCGTCCATGTGTAAGTTTTAATAAAAAAAAATCTAAAAATGTATTTAAATCAATGATATCATTTTAATAACAACTCATATTAATTGGCGTAATGTTAGCTACCAAAGCAGGCCAGCTACCAAAACCGACCACGCATGCGCATTTGAAATGTCATTTTATTTCAAATTTAATAGGTTAAAATGTGTTATAAAGCAAGTTTAAGCATTGTTTTACATATTTTAAAGAGGAAAAAGCGTCCTAAGTGTAATTTTAATAGTTTAATAGTAGGTAATAAACCACAACTAATCCTGAAAAACGGATCTACGAGCTGTTGAAGAGTGAGGTTCCGTTTTGGAGGTTAAATACAAGTAAGTCATCCTTTTTCTGACTGTTTCCTTTTTATGCTTATACATATCAGCTAGCATTTTTGGTATTAAAATTTTAATTGAGATACAATATCCAATTAGGCCGTGACCATGAGTGGTCATGGCTCTCCCCCCGGAGATCCGGGAGGAACATTAAATTATTACAGGCAGGCAGTGAACGATTTAATTATTAGATCTCCTAGTACTCAAGAATCGGTAAAGGGCCTAGTTAACTTGTCCCAAATTAATAATATTCCATCCATTTTGGATAGAGAATTTTTATCACAACTAGACTGTAATGACGATTTTAAGAATGAAATAAATGAGGTAGTTAATAGAGGGTTTTGGATCTCAGAAAAAGGGGATCGAATTGATTTTGACAATAAAATAAACATTCAATCTAATATTCTAGTAAAATCTCCACAAAAAATGGAGCTCGACGCTTCAAAAAACATCAACAAAAAATATGACCATGAAATTATTTTATATTCCGTTTACGATACAGGTCCTTTTATAATTAATATTGAATCAGCTGATAATACAACTTTGCATTATCAAAGAGTAGGTAAATTGCTAGCACAAAATAATAACTATGAAATTATTAGAGTAACTAAGAGGGGTAGAAATAGAATGGCAGTTTATTTTAAAAATATGACCAAAGCCAATGAATTTTTGGGTAATGAAGAATTTCTGAAACAATATAATTTTAAAGCTTACATTCCTAGGCATCTCGTAACATCTAAAGCAATAGTTAGAGGAATAGATCCAGAATTTACAGAGGCAGATATTCTTAAAAATATAAAATCTGTGGGAAAAATCACAAAAGTTATAAATGTTAGAAGGATTAAGAGGAAATCGAAGGAAAATAAAGAGCTTGTGAATACTTCAATGATTGTGTTGACTTGCAGAGGTAAGTTTATTCCCCAGAAAGTTGAGTTATTTTTGTGTATTTTTTCAACTGAAAAGTATATAGAGCCGGTAATACAATGTTTTGGGTGCCTTCGTTATGGTCATACTCTGGCGCAATGTAAAAGTAAACCTAGATGTGACAGGTGCGGTCTAGAAAGAATAGAACAAATAGAAAAAAAAGAAAAAGAGAATAGTCATGATAACTGTATTGTAAAGTGTATTTTCTGTAAAAAGAATCATTCTTCTACAGAAAAAGGTACGGACTTTAAAAACCGTGTTTGTCCTGAATTTATACGTCAAAAAAAAATTAAAACAATTATGTCTTTATATAATCTCTCATTTTTTGAAGCTTCTCAAAAAACAAAAGCGGTAGTAGTACCTCAAAAGGAATCATCCATGGTTCAAAGTACAAATAAAAATGTTTTCTCTGAGGACTTTCCTCCTATTACTAATGACATAATAGAAGAGGAATTTCCCCTTCGGAAAAATTTAACTTTTACAAAAGTACTTAATAAAACCCCTCGTCAGCACGCAAAAAGGTCCTCACAATATAGTGAAGACCATTTTCTTAATTCAAACGGAAGAATACATGAAACACCTTCCAAACGCCCTTATATATCAACTCCCAGTACCTCCCAACAGGCACAGGAAATGACTAGTGAAATGTCTCCCAACAAGGAGCATTTTAGTGAGCTATTTATGCATTTTTCCAAAAATTTCCCAGATATTCTCTCAAAACTAATAAATATACACTTTTCTCAAACTTCAATGCAGGGTCAAACTGACGTTGCATTGAATAAATAATTACTTAGTTTATTTAAATTTTATTTAATTTTAATTTGATTTTAATTTTGATTTTAATTTTGATTTTAATTGTGATTTTGATTTTAATTTTAATTTAATTTTAGTTTTAATTTTGATTTTAATGTTTATTTTAATTTTGATTTTGATTTTAATTTTGATTTTAATTTTGATTTTGATTCTGATTTTGATTTTAATTTTAATTTTGATTTTGATTTTGATTTTGATTTTAATTTTGATTTTAATTTTGATTTTGATTCTGATTTTGATTTTAATTTTAATTTTGATTTTGATTTTGGTTTTAATTTGGATTTAATTTTAATTAAGTCTAATTTGATTTTAATTTTAATTTAATTTTATTTCATTTTATCCTTTTTGCTTTACAAAGGAAAAAAAAAACAACATGTAAATTTCGTATATGTCAAATATTAGGATAATCCATTGGAATATTCGTAGTTTATTTTAAGAAAAATTGCAATATCTACAGATATGGTGATAAATAGTTTGGAAAAATACGATCCCCTCTACTCAAAGAGGTCCAAAGCCCTATTAATTAAAAATAATTGCCTATTCAAATCGTTTAAAAAATATTATGAAACTTCAAAAACATTTTTAGGAAAATCCAAAACAACAATTATTACTTATAACTTTTTTGAGCTACTTGTCCCAATTTCGGTGATATTGGAATGGGGTGTTCAGAAGAGTTTGAACACATGTCTTATAAAAAAACCTTTTTGAACAGAAAATTAATAATGATTGGTCTGATGTTGTTCAAATTTATACAGATGGATCTGTTCAAAAGGTAAAAGGTTCAAGTTCTTTCGGAATATACATCCCCTCTCTTAATATTGAAAGTTCATATAAGAATGATGGATCTTCAATCTTTTTAGCGGAACAATTGGCAATTTTATATGCACTTAAAATATGTTTGGAAAAAAAAAAAAAACAAATTAAGAAATACATAATATTTTCAGATTCTTTTAATTGCTTATTACAGATCAAGAAAAATTCTTGGAATTCTAAATCAAATAGTACAATGTTAAAAATTAATAAAATATATTTTGAAATTACTAAAAATAAAGGATACAGAAAGCTTTGTTGGATTTATACCTGGTCACTCCGGGATTAAAGGTAACAAAAAGGTTGATCAGTTAGCAAAAAAATGTCAAAAAAGGGTAGAAAATTTTAAAATTCCAGCAAATGAACTCCACAAGGAGGCCAACAAACATTTGCTTTTTAGTTGGAAAAAATTTAGGTACAATTCAGTAAAAAAGAACTGTGATGAGTGCGGAGATACAAATCACTTACTTTTTGCCTGTAATAATAACATAAATAACTCTAATGCACTAATAAATAGCTTGGTCCAAAAAGGACATCATCTGCCTTGTAGCTACAAATCCATTATAGCATGCGCTTTTTTAGATGCATATAGATGCATTTATAGATTCCTTAAAGATTCTAATATTAAATTGTGATATGTTTAGGTTTTCCTACCGTTCCTGATTTTTTCTTTGTTTGTGCTGTTACATAACCTAAATATTTGACTTACAAAAGAAGAAACCTCCATAAACACTCTTGACGAACAGAAAAGTAAATTTAAAAAACACTAGTAGCTGGCCAGTAAGAGCTCTATTGTCTCAAGGCCAATTTCCTTAGGAAGGAAATAAATAAGTAAGAAGAAGAAGAAGAATCCTGAAAAACAGTAACAACAAATGTTTAACCTCCAAAACAGGCCAAGGGATTTTTCTACCATTTACAAGCATAAATAAGTAAGAAAAAAGTGTGATACCCCAAGTAAACGCATTGTGCGACATTTTTCAAGCAAATTTTAAGAAAGAAAATGTGTTTTAAGTGAAATTCAAGTCATATTTTTAATATCTTCGGTTCAGCTACCAAAACAGGACAGGGGGCTTTTCTTCCATTTACAAGCATAAATAAGCAAGAAAAAAGTGTGATACCCCAAGTATAGGCATTGTTTGACATATTTCAAGCAAGAAAATGTGTTTAAAGTGAAATTTAAGAAATATCTCAAGTTCAGCTACCAAAACAGGCCAGGGGGCTTTTCTTCCATTTACAAGCATAAATAAACAAGAAAAAAGTGTGATACCTCAAGTAAATGCATTGTTTGACATTTTTCAAGTATATTTTAAGAAAAAAAATGTGTTTAAGTGAAATTCAAGTAATATTTTTAATATCTTCGGTTCAGCTACCAAAACAGGCCAGGGGGCTTTTCTTTCATTTATAAGCATACTTATACAAGAAAAAAGTGTGAAACCCCAAGTAAATGCAT